AAATAATATATATATATATATATATATATATATATATATAGGGGTTGGGGGAAACGAGCTGGGATCTATAGCATCTTGGAACTGGTCTAGTCGTAATAAATTCCTATTTGAATTGGTGATCTAGATAAAAAAATCATCAGGTTTTAAAACGATGCGGTAATTGAATTTTGGGAGATCATTTAGTTGATGCAAGATAGTACCCTGGCGTGCTGGGGCACCAGCCAGATCAAAAAATGGTAGGGAATATAAGCACATCAAAAGCATTGATAATCGTTTAGTAACTTTAGTTAATAACAATGCAAACAACTAGGTTTGGTGAATATGATAGTTATTTAATTCTTAATAAGAATGTTGCAAACTTATTTGAAAAAAAAAAAAGAATAGCGTGTGAAAAGGTGTAATTTAGTTATTTGAGAAATAAAATAGGATTCAGTTTTGTTGGGTTAGCTGCTTTGATAGGTGACGGGATATGGTAGCTGGAATAACGCCTATGCGTCATATTTGTTGGCTGGATTCAAATTAAATAAAAAATAAAAAAAGAAAGTGAAAAGTTTCCATGCTCATGCACTTGTAGGAGCATACTGTATATTCCTCTTTAACCTGGAGTAAATTTAGGATCCTAAATTTTGGAATATAACCTCTTAAAACCAGCCAATAACTTTTTTTTAAAAAAAAATCAAAATACATTTTTTATGAACCAGAAAAAAAACAAAAGCCATACTAATGAACAAGATAGTCCTATTTTTGAAGTGTTAAAGAACTCAAAATTATGTACTAATGTTTTTTAAGATAGTCATCTGGTGATTCTTAGATGAATCTAAAATTTAATAGAAGAAAAATCCTAAGAAGCAACACTTTTGCCTGAGGGTGTAAGCGTTCAGTGAGCATGCCATGCGCGCTTAAAAAAACAAAAGAAAATAGTGCAAAATATGAAAATATGATAAATAGGTCTCTTTATTTAAGCATATTTTTCATTCACCGAAAACAGGGAGGATATTTTCCTAAACATCGACGGGGTGAGGGATGACATGAAAGCTCTCGAAATTGAAGAAGTTCTTTGCAATAATTAAATATTAAGAAGACAAATTAAAATTGGAGAAGTTCTTTGCAAGAATTAAATATTAAGAAGACAAATTAAAATTGAAGAAGTTCTTTGCAAGAATTCAATATTAAGAATACAAATTATCCTAAAACAATTTCCTAGACAAGGCAATCGGGTTGGGGTATTCCTTTTGCAAGCAAAAAAGAATGGGAACCCCTGACTCCCCGAAGCTATGTGCGTACTATATAAATATATATAAATATAATTACAATATTTATATAAGCGACAATCGTTTCATGCAGTTGGACCGCATTTGTATAATATGTGATCCGGAATTATAAAACACTCATTTTAAAGATAGATGCAAATAGGTAGTCTATTTAAAAACAATTGTAACTAACGATCCAAATATTTTTTTAATATAATTATTACTTATAGTTTTTAATTATTATTTATTTATTTATATTCATGATCTTCATGTTAAAGATTATGTATTCACCCAGAGCTTACGAAGCTAAGCTTCCGGTAATTTTGAAGACCACGATATAAAAACAGTAAAAAAATAGCATACGAGGGATACCTTGGCAGAGCAATTAAAGGACGCTATACGTAACTATTTTTTTTGTATATAGAGTTTTTTAATAAAAATATATTTGATTATTATAAGAGGTATCATGTGATGTGACATCACCCACATAAAATATGATTAGTATAATTATGTGGATGATGTCATATTTCGACATCACACCTGTTGTAATGACAAAAAATACTTTTATTAAAAAATTGATCTATGTGTGAAATAATGATATAAAAATGTTCAAAATCTGTTGAACAGAATAATAAATTTATCCAAAATGCGAGCGCCTTAACCCACCAACAAAAAAAAAAAGAAAAAAAAAGAAAAAAAAAAAAAAAGAAAAAAAAGAAAAGGGTAAGCAACCGTAAAATCGTAAAAACAAAGAGCAACAAATGGAGGGAACACCAGTAAATTTCTATCCGAAAAAAATTACAATAGTCCTTGAAGGTACAGAGAAAGGTGGAACCCATGTGAGGATATTGCTCCCAAAAAATTGCACCGCTTTAAGGCCAACGACATAAGAATAGAGAAAGTCTGTAAAGCGTCAAAGTTTCTCTCTCTAGAGTTGATCTTTCCACCTTTTAAGGCGTTTCACGCAAGAAGAAATCCCTAAAATCTAAAAGGTCAAGGTGTTTTGTCTCTCTTATTTTCCAGGCACATGAGGTAAGCAAGCAAAAAGGAATAACAACCAAACTTTTCGTTTTCTAAGCGCTTTCTATTTTGCATGTGGACCAGCTTGCCCTCCATTTATCTTGTCGATATCATCAAATTTGACAGAACCCATCTCTTGAAAATTCATTTATATCCCTGGAATTCGCCCTCTGATTCTTGTACTTGTGGTGCCTCACAGTTTTGTTCCTGAGAAGTGATTTTCCATCTCTAGGTTTCCAGCGCCTTCTTGTATTACTTTTTGAATTCTTTATCATGGAAGAGGCTAAGGGTAAGGTTCATGAGCTCTTAATGCGTATTTATTTCTTCAGTTTTTTTTGTTTGGTAGCAATGGTATTGGTTTTGCATTTGATTAGGTCTGGTGCTTAGCCTTAGTTGCCAGATTAGTTGATTATAGAAATGCTTTGGATTGGTTTTGGTTAAATTTTTGGATTTTTTGGGTACCTGAGATATCAATTTGTTGAGCTTTTTGTATTCCCCATTATGCTTAATCCTTCATTTTTTTTTTCTTGTTTCTTGTTTTATTTTTCAAGTGGTGGAGACCAAGGATGGAACATTTTCAGTGGCCTCTGGATACCCTGGTCATCAAGAAGGTATGAATTCTATTTTTTCTTAACAAGCTATTTACATTCACTGCAAAAAATGAATTTTTAATTCCCCTTATATACATGAAAAGTTGTTAATTATAAGTGGTCCATTTTGCTTTTGTCGCTTTGGATTATTCTGATATGTTATTCGCAATTGACTTATGAAGAAAATGATGTTATTCATGATTGTAGATGTGTCTTGAGTTTCCCAGTGCGTGTGTTGCGTGGAAACACGGATAACTAACTGACAAAATTAGCATTTTGAAAGATGATTTGGAAAGATTGGATTGGGGAGAGGAAAACACACAACCAAATAATAACTTTGAGTTTTTTTGAAAAATTAAGTATAAGACTTCACAATTATGGGTGTTATTTCCAAATAAAATCATGTAAATTTTCTCACATTTTTCTGTTATTATGTGGTAAGAAATTATTAGTTGCTTTGTATCAGGGGCTCGATAGTCATATGCCTGTGAGGCATTACTAGATATGTCCTTTTATAGATTTGAGTGATTTAGCTATTTAATAAATGTTAGGCAGTTGAATGGCCTAGAAGATAGCAGCATTTTAGAAGACTTGGTGTGAGAGGTTACATTTGGGGATTAAGACCATTTATTATGATTTGGGTGCTTTCATTCAGTTAAAGGGGGCCAAAGATATCAGTCAAAGGGGGCCAAAGATATTATTTGGTTGACATTGGTTGTAAAGGAAAAAAATCCTTATACCATAAATTATCAAACTCTATCATTTATTATTGTTTAATATTTAGATATATAGACTTGCTGTGATTATTAGCTGCTATGTTGTCATTCCAACAAAACAATTATTTTTCATTGTCATATAGTGTTGCTTTTTGTCATCTTTCCATTGGCAATTGTGTGCAATTTTTAAATTTTAAACTTGAAATTGTTCTTATTTGCATTATGAACTCGTCCAGCTGTTCAGGACAGGGACCACAAGTTTCTATCAAAAGCAATAGAAGAAGCATATAATGGTGTGGATTGTGGCCATGGGGGGCCCTTTGGTGCAGTTGTTGTTCGTAATGATGAGATCGTAGTTGGCTGCCATAACATGGTTTTGAAGAACACAGATCCAACTGCACATGCTGAAGTTACTGCTATAAGAGAGGTTATTTAGGTCCTTACCCTTATTTCTATTGTTGTTATCTCTTTTCCTTTTGGGTATAAGAGAGACTGTTTACTTCCATTCTCTTATATTTATTTTATAATGATTTTCTTTTGGGAAGCTATTGTTATTGTAGTCCCCATTAGAAAATATATTATTTCTATAGGTTCTATCCTTAGTTGTTTTCTTTTAATTGAAGTAGATGCTCTTTAATTACTTAACAATGAATGAATATTGCAATACCTGCAACTTAAAAGGATGTAGTGGTCTCTTTGGCTGCATTTGTCTCCTTTCTAATTAGGATGGTTTACTTCCCAGTCTATTTCTTGAGACTTACATTTCAATAAAGAAATGGCAGGAAATGAGTCAACTGTCCTTTAAATTGGTATTTGATCTTCGGAGTTGGAATCCCTATGTTGCCATTCACTTGCCCTTTCACTGCATGTTTTATTTTTCTGGATTGTTATAATTGTAAACTCATTTTTAAACACATTTTCTTGTTCACTCCATTAAGCTCTACGATTTAATTTATCCCCATTTGAGTGTAAGTCAAGTTTCGAGTTTCCATATGTAAATATAGAACTTTCTGATGATGTAGTCCTTTAGGCATGCTCACAAATTTGAACCAGAAAAAACATGAAGAGTTGAAATCTCCCTACCCATGCTCATATTATGATGTTTTTGAACATTGTTGATGTTGTCATAGTAGAATTAGAATTAAAAATTTTCCTTCACCATTCGTTTGGACACTTTTCCTAGCCTAGTCATTTGATGTTCATACTCACCCTGGCTCTATATTTACTTTCTTAGGTCTGACAAATACATAGAAACGTCAAATAAAGAAT